CATGCCCCATCTTGTCCTGTTCATTGTCTTCTCCGACTTCCCATGTCTATCCTGTTTGCCCTTTTGAATGAGACTTAAACTTCTTGCCTAGGATCCTCCTTGTTGTTTAGCTTCCTTAGAAATATAGATTTTTAGTTTGTTTATCCTATATTATATGGTTAATATCCACTTACAAGTGAATATATATCATTTGTGTCTTTCTGCTTCTGGGTTACCTCACTCAGGATAATTCTTCCTCATCACCACCATTTCCCTGCATGGGACAGGACAGGAGCCTTGCACAGAGGACCTCTGAAAGACTCTACCCACCAGGGTTTCAAAGGTGACACTGAGACTCATAGCCAAACTTTGGGCACAGTGCCAGAATCCTTATGGAAGAAGAGGAAGATAGACCTGGAGGGGACAGGAACTCCACAAGGAGAATAACAGAGACAAAATACCTGGGACCAGGGGGCCCTGCAGAGACCAATACTACAGCTAGGGACCATGCACAGAGATGACCTAGACCCCTGTTCGAAGGAAGCTCATTGGTTGCTCATTTTCCAAGTGGGTTCTCTAGTAAGGGGCTCAGGGATTGTCTCTGACATGAACTCAGTGGCCAGCTCTTGGATCTCCCCCTGGGGCATGCAGCCATCCATGCCACAGAGAAAGATCATGCAACCAGCCTTGATGAGACCTGATAAGCTAGGGTCAGATAGAAGGGGAGGAGGTCCTCCCCTATCAGGGGACTAGGGAAAGGGTATAGAAGGAGGAAAGGGAGGATGGGTGAGACTGGGAGGAGACAGGGTGAGGGCTGCAGCAGGGATATGAAATGAAAAAATTGTAATAAATAAATTTCTCAATAAAATTAAATTAAAAAGAATTTTCAGGGAAGAAATTATATTTTGTATACAATACATAATCTGTTCTTATTTATTATCCATACTTATATTTTTTTTTCATTATATACCAAAGCAATAACTTTGGATAAATACTATTTTTTCCTTTTTATGCCTTCTTTTGTGTTTAATTGAAAATGATACAAAATTTTAGTATTATATCACGTATGTCTCTTTGCAGAAACTAATGGTGCTTGAAAGTTCTCAATACACCTTATCACATTTTCAGCTAGCAATATTCTCTTCAAGGGATTATACATACCTTTTATTAACCTCTCCCCAATTTCTCCCACATCAATTACAATATTGTTGCTTCGCATTTCTCTTATTCATATGTTAACATGTTCTCATCTTAGTCTGACTACTTCATTGACACACCAGGTATATATTAAATAATTTGAGACTTAAAATGAATGCTTTACTTTTATTCTTTTCTGTATGTTCTTTCTTTACACAGACTCAAGTCTTCAAAATCATTTACTTGATATCTAGGGAGAATTTTGTTTAAAATTCAAGTAAAGCACAATATACTTGCTCCATATGTTCCTGTTTCCAGTACTCTTGTATTTATTGTCTCTGCAGACATCGAGGTAGCAACTTTGCCCACTAACCTTACTTCTCTGGTGAAAAGAAGAAACATGGACAGTTTTGATTTTTTTCACAAAGAGATGAATAAAAATAAAATGCTTTAAAAAGTTCAGATGAAAATAGGCAAAAGATGGAGAGAAACCTTACAAATGTAACCAGTGTGGTAAAGCCTTTACTTGTAACAGTAGTCTCATGCTACATAAAAGAGCTCACAATGGAGAGAAATCTTATGAATGTAATCAGTGTGGTAGAGCCTTTGTACGTAAAAGTCATCTCTTAACATGAAAGAACTCACACTGGAGAGAAACCTTATGAGTGTAACCAATGTGGTAAAACCTTTGCATATAACAGAGTTCTAAGACATAAAAGAGCTCACACTGGAGAGAAACCGTATGAATGTAAAAAATGTGGTAAATAAAGCCTTTGCGTGTAACAGTAATCTCTGAAAACATAAGAGAACTCATACTGGAGAAACACCTTATGAATGCAACCAAGGTGGTAAAGCCTTTGCATGGAACAGTCTGTGCATTTCAGATCAGTCCCTGAAGACAAAAGAAAATCTTTATGAATGTAAGCAGTGTGGAATCACCTTTGTACATCACAGTCAACTCCTAATACATAAAAATCCATGTTACAGAAAATCCTTATTAAAATAAGAAATGTCATATAGTTTTTTCGTAAGAGTCATCTTGAACAAGAACACTTACTGGAGTGAAAGCCTATGAATGTAACCAATGTGTCAAAACCTTTGCATGCCATAATAATCTCCAAGTGCATAGAAGAATGTACACTGGAGAGAAAGTTTCTGAATGTAACCAATGTGATAAAGCATTTTGACATAATAGTAATATCCTATGACATAAAGAATACATACTGGAGAGAAACCTTTTGAATTTAACCAATGTGGTAAAGTCATTACATGTAACAGTATCTCCTAATATATAACCTCACACTGGAGAGAAACCTTATGGGATGTGTCCTATGTGTAAAGCCTTTGCACAAAACAGTCATTTCCTAATATAAACTTGCTCTTCACAATCATGTTCAAAGTCATGAAAGAATTCATACCTGAAAGAAAGACTATGAGCATATTTAACATTGTGAAACTATTAAACATTTGTATAATCATCATGAAAGAATTCGTGCAGAGAGAAACTTTATGAACAAGTTAAAATGTGAGGCCTTTGCAAATATCTATATTCTACATTATCATAAAACTTTCAAAATGGAGAGAAAATCTGAGAATATAAACAAATGTTATCCAGGTACTACTGGTTGATTAAGGCCAGATAATGTTCTTGGGATCTGAACTGTGATGCCTACCCACCAAATGAGCCAGAAAGTTACAGAGGTTCTGACCTTGAAAATCATAAACATCTTTGCCATTTTACAGCTAAATTTTTAACATCAGTCAGGGTTTAGGGATATGGGATTTGTTTATGTCATTGAGGAAGTCACCTGATGTAAAATGCAGGTTTTACAATCAAAACAATCATATCCATTTGTCCTTTTGTGGTTAGGAAAAGGTAATATGGTTTAAGAAAGAAAATCTGTGATTTGTGTTTGTCATTATGTTAGGGGACCAGAAACCATGGTATGGAAATTTGATATTTATGGGAACAAAAGTTGAGTAATGAATGCTGGTCAGCTAGTGGGAATTTTACAGCTTTCTGAGGGACTATGAACTTAACCTTGGTTTCACCCTATAATTCAATGGAAGCTGGTATCAAAATGGCACTACTTAGGACAAATTTCTTTTGCTCATTCCCACATGCAAATTACTTTTTCAAGTTTTGCATACCACAGTCTTCCTCAAGTATATAAAATACAGATACTAGAGAGAAACCTTACACATGTAATCAATATGATAAAGCCTTTTCTTAATACCCTTATGTCCATAGAAGAATACATAGTCAGTGAAACCCTATGAGTAAACAAAGTGGTGAAGCCTTTTCATGTAGTTGCCTTTAAAATCATGAGGAACAGTCATGCTGCAAAGAAACCCTAGGAGTGTGGTCAGTATGGTAAAGTTTTCTGCTTCATGGTACCATTATAGAAGAGTAAAAGGTTTAGTGTGTGAGCAACCAGTTAAAGCCTTTGCAGATCACAGTAGATCTTGAGAAACTTGAACTAATTCTGAAGGAAATCTATTAGGATAAAAGATTTGTTAAGATCTTTGAAGAACCAACTTGCATTCAGTTAAGGAGATTATATGGAGGAAAAATTTTAACAAGTGTCAACAATGTATTCATACTTTATGGCATCCATCCTTATGTTGTTTCCAATTGAAAACTAATATGGACAAAAGGCCTATGAATTTAAACAATAAGGCAACTCTTTTAGATTTCAAAATTCTCTCCAATTGCATGAAATAAATCATCCAGTTGTAAAATTTTGGGGTGTGTATTATTGCCTTTTCTGTGACAAAACACAATGGTTAAAGCAAATTCCAAATGTGTTTAATTTGCCTTATGGTTCCAGAGGTATATGGGATCACTATGAAATGGGCTTCACAAGTGTCACACATGGCAGCTAGGAAGTTTGGAACTCACATCCTCAACCTGCAGCATGAAGCAGAGAGTGGGAAATACAAATGCTATGCAGTTGAAAACTATTAAGCCCAACCCAAGTAACATACTTCCTCCAGGTGGGCTGTTTTTCCTAAGCATTCCCAAATGATACCACCAACTGAGATAGATTAATTTCTATGACTTTAAGACTACGTGTTTGATTGCTGTTACATGAAGGAATTCTTGATGAAGAAAAACTCTGTAGATAACCCTATAGATGCCTCAACACCTGAGTTACAGGAATGAATGCTTACATGTGAACAACATTTATGAGCAAACATTTGTTTAACAATTTCTTTTAATTTAGATTATGTGATATCAGTGTGTCTTTGTTTATGTGCCTGTGCATTCTGATCTCCCGATCTTTTGATCTTCTTGTACAAGGAATTCCAGAAAGTTGTCAAAAACATGATCTCGGTTCTGGGAATAAACTTGTCTTAACTGCACAAAAAAAAAAAAAAAAAAGAAAAGAAAAGAAAAGAAAGAAATTAGGCAAAAGAAGATCATTTTTGAGCACAGTAAAGAATATATAGTGTTCATTCTCTGGCTTGGCCTCATGTAGTTTTCTACAGCTGCTATGAATTATTTTGATGTAAAAGTTGCAGTGACAGTATCCCAACTTATATAGATGAAACTAAGATAAAAATTATCACACTTATTTTATGCAGAAATCTGTCGCTAAATAAGCAGTGTAGACAGAGAACCTGACAGGACGATATATGATGAAGGGTAACATGCGCATAACCTGAACCGGAACCGAGTAATGTGAGCACACTGAATGAACTGAGAATCAGACATTGTTTAGATAAAACGAAATCAGAAGATCAATACCCAAATATTACATCACACCATGAAAAGAACATAAAAGAAAACGAGCATGTTAAAGTAGCATCTTAGCAAAGGTTATTTAATAGCCCATTTTTCATGAGACATACTCTTCCATCACAAATGTCATCCAAATGATTTAATATTCAGTTATTTTCAAGTGTGAGAAGAGACGCAGCACGCGATCCCGGATCTGTTTTGTCTTGACACCATACACCAAGGGATTGACTGTGGGGGGCACTAGAAGGTACATGCTTGCCAAGATGATGTGGACACTGGGAGACACGTTTTTGCCAATTCGATGAGTTTGGAAGCTAAACAATGCCGGCATGTAGAATGCAAGAATGGTGCAGACATGCGCAGCACAGGTGCCCAGGGCTTTCGAGCGGGCGTTCTGGGAAGAAAGCCGGAACACTGCCTGGAGAATTTTCACATAGGATGTGGCTATGAGCCATATGTCCACTATTGTTACTGAAAGGGCCACTGAGATGCCATACGCTCTGTTAATGAGAGTGTTGGCGCTGGCCAACTTCACCACAGCCATGTGCTCACAGTAGGCATGAGGGATGACATAGCCTGTGTAGTAGGGCAGCCTCTTAATGAGAAGAGGACATGGCAACACCATGAAGAGAGCCCGGCTCAAGCCAACTAAGCCAAGTTTAACAACCATAGACGTTGTAAGGATGGTTGAATAATGTAGGGGGATGCAAATGGCCACAAAGCGATCGAATGCCATCGCTACGAGGATGGCCGACTCCATGATGCAAAGCGTGTGGATGAAGTACATTTGTGTTAGACAGGCATCAAACTCAATCCAGTGTGCATCAAACCAGAAAATAGCAAGCATTTTCAGGGCTGTGGAGCAAGTGAGAAACATGTCATTCGCTGCCAGCATGCAAAGGAAGAAAAACATAGGCTGGTGGAGGCTTGCTTCTAGCTTGACAGTGACGATGATTACGCTGTTCCCCATCAGGGTCAGGACAAACAGGAAGCACACAGGGATGCTGAGCAAGCCATGAAACTTTTCCAAGCCAGGAACACCAACCAAGTAGAAAAATGAAATGTAGTGATGGGTCGTATTGTTTACCATGTCCAACCTAAGGGCATTTCAATCTTAGTCATATAATCAGGACAGTTCCCTCAGGGCATAGATAGGATTGCAAAGTGTTTCTTTCAAGGATCTTATGTATGGAATCTAGAATTGGAAACCTAGGTTTCCAAAAGAACAGCAAGGCTCAGGTAAACAATCTCATCCTATGGAGCATCAGCAACTTTATCTGCAAAAGAAAAAATTAAATTCATTACACCATGCTTTCTTTGGCGATTTGATGAATGAAAGATTTAATTAAGTCTTAGTGCAAATTTTTCATTTTCTGTTTTTAGTACTTTTATTTATTTACTTTTAATTTTTAAAAAAATTTTACAATTATATAAATTTGCCTGCAAATGAGTGGAAATAGAAAAAATCATCCTGGGTGAAGTAACCCAGAAACATACAGACATCCACAGTATACACTCATTTATAGTGGATATTGGCCATATAAAATAGAATAGCCATGCTAAAATTTACAGACCTAAAGAAGCTAAACAACAAGGAGTACTCTAGGGAGGATGCTTAAATCTCATTCAGAATGGCAAACAGGATAGAGACCAGAAGCGGTGGAAGAGAGAGAACAGGATGGGAGCATCCTACAGAGGGTCCTCTGAAAGTCAAGACTCAACAAGGGTCAGAAGCAGATGCTGAGGCTCACAGCCAACCTTTGTGCAGGCTGCAGGAAATGTTTTGGAAGAAGGGGAGGGCATAAAATTTCATTTTCTATAGAAAGTTAAGATAATAAAATAAGAATATATTGTGTTTAATCCAACTATTTTTAAGGAATTGAAATAAAGTATTAAGACTTAAACATAAAACATGCAAATACCCCATCAACTAGCAGATGTTTTGTTACATCATTGTTTTAAAATATGGCTGTTTTTCTTTGTTGTCATAAATAGTTGCTCATTCAGATAAGATACAACATGAACCAAGAACATCAAGTTATATACAAGTTCTCTAATTTATCAAAGTCAATTTTATACATATTTCATATTTTCAAGGGGAAATATATAAATTTTATAATCTCCTTAACTTCATTTTCTATTTGAACAATGGGTGACCATTCATTTGGTAAATTAGAAAAAAAATATTCCATGTGTAGAATTGGGTGACTTTGAGGCAAAGAAACACAAAGAAAAAGAAGCAGGTTGGTCATGTTAAAGTTGCTTTCCTAGGAAACAGGAAGAGGGAGAGTGATCTGTAGGAGTCCTGAAGATTAGCCACCTTGAGGCCAGCACAGGTTGCCTTTCCTGTGTATAAGGCAAAACTCAGGGCATGTCTACATCGCATCAGTTAAAACTCTCCTGTTTGGGAAATTTGTCAATATTTCTACCACCTCACTTATTGGGAATGCAAGCTATCAATTGGTTTAGCTTTCATATATGGGACTGGAAAGTTTCATATCAATGGCTCAATCTTCATTTTTAATATGGCCTGGAAAATTCTCCTTTAAAATTGTGATTTTTTTTTTTGTAATTTTTACTAAACAAGATTAGTCTCTTAGAGATGACAACTGATGCAAGATAAGCAAGCACGCAGTAGTTGATTTGGGTATAACAGGACATAATTTTAAGCACAGCTGTAACCGTAAGAGTCAAATTAGCACACCTCATTTTTCTCATAAAATGTAACAAAAAATCTTGCTGACATAAATAATATGATTTTTAAAGTATGTGTCATAATTACAAGCTTATCATTCTGTTTCCTATAAGTTTCTTCTTATGAAGACAGTTCGTAAACTCTGTGTCCACAGGAAAGAAGCGAAGCCATTTTCTCTAAGACATCTTTTCCTTGGTGGTGGATGTACATACTAGCCGACTACAGGGACAGTTCGACCTGCACTACCACCTTTCTCCCTTAGCAGATAATCCATATTACAATTAAAATTTTACACTACAAAATTTTTTAAACCAAATATACTGGATTCATTCTGAATTCTTAAATTGTGATATTTTGTTTTGATTTAGTTTCTGAGTCATTGTTAACAACACCTTTGCTGGAACCCTCCATGCCGGAGCATAAGTTTCAAATGGAAGACTATGCATTATCTATACTGCTTTTATATTGTCTGCTACCAATGTGCTTAGTGTGTTAATACACATAAAGACTTTCCTGTGTTCAACAGGTCTTACATCCTCAATCATTTCATCACATTGTTCGTGGTGTCGACACTAGCCACCCACTCTTAAACTTCAGATGTCCTAAAATGATCTTGTCATCTCTGCTCATTTAACTCCGACTTGCAGCACCAGTTGCTAACTCTTGTACTGTTGATTCTTCTTTTCCGTCCACTTGCTAGTCTCACTCACCATGTTTTTAACACAGAAAGGAATCTACAGAAATCAGCAAATGGACAATTATTCTTAGGGCAGACCAGAAGCTCTTAGCATGTTGTATACTTTCACAATCATTTCACATTTTTAACTTTTACCTGAAGCCTCTGACCATACTTCCGTGGGCAACTGATTCACACATGTTGCCCAAACTTCTTTCTCTTCATCTGCTTTCTTGGCGTGGTCTTTCCAGTTTGCATCACACAGAAAACAAAACTAGAAATCACCCTTCACAGAAAGTAACATAATTCTACCACGAACAATAAGATATTTAGAAACAAATACTTCATCACTAGAAAATCAAATTATTCAAATACCTATTAGTTATCATTCCAATACATAACGCCATGTCTTTGTGTTCAGTATTCATTCCTCACTTGCCTTCATCCTGTGTGTTTCGGATACTGTCTTACGATGCAATGAGCATGGTGTTAACATGCCTCTTCCTCCTGCATCATACATACACTCTGTAAAGTCAGTAGCCACGGTTCCTTTCTCAGCTCTAGTGCAATGCCCAGGGGCCCCTCCAATTCACAGCGCAGATATCCCTTAGGATAGCCAGGACCACTGCGAAAATTATTGCAACAGCATGAAACACAGAGCAGTACAACTTTAACTAATCCTGTACATTCCACAAATCTTGTAAGTTAGAGTAAGATACTTCTTTTAGCCTGCATTTCAGTTTCATTGACATTTCTTCCAAGACGCTTTGTCTGAGGATCCTTCGAGACTTTGTTCTACTTTAACATATGTGAATTTTCTTCAATCACCTTGAACAATGAAATCTCATTATTAGAATAAAAATGGATAGCCTTGGAAGGGACTATGTGAAATTAGCCAGGCATCATGGATGAAACCTTAAGTGATCACACGTATCTGTTACTTTGGAAAGCTGATCTAAAAGAGGTGGGTGGAAGAATGTTACTAGTACAGGAAAAATTGAAGGAGAAAGGTGACAGAGAGAAGTTTGTCATCTGTTGTAGCTTATTAACTTAGCAGGAAGATACCTTCATGTACCATTGTAAAGATGAATAAAGTCAAAACAGTTTATTACATATTTCAACATATTTGGAAGAGAGGATTTTCACTGTTTTCACCACAGAAAAATTACAAAATGTTGGGAAAATGAATATCATCTAATTGTCTTGGTTTTATAACGATTCTGCATGTCCTTATGTTTCATGAACATCACAAAGTACACTCAATAAGCTTGTGTGGTAGTTAGTGTCAGTGAAGATAACACTATATTGTTAAAAGCTTTTTCTGGTGGCAGTGGTGGAACACAAGCTTAATCCCAGCACTCGGGAGGCAGAAGAAGGGAGATCTCTGAGTGTGAGGCCAGCCTGGTCTACAGTATGGGGTCCAGGAGAGTAAGTGCTACATAGAGAAACCCTGTCTCAGAAAAAGAAAAAAAAAAAAAAAAAAAAAGAACCTGAGTTATTAAACAAACAAACAAAAAATAAATAAATAATTTTTCTTGAATTTTCTGGCTATTTTAATATGAAATGGTAAAGTATTTTTATGAAACATAGTCTTTTTTCACTCTTTTTATTATTTATTACAATTTATTCAATCTTTATCCAAGCTATGGCTCCCTCCTTAATCTTCTCTCAATCATACCCTCCCTCCCTCTTCTCTCCCTATGCCCCTCCCCTAGTCCACTGATAGGGGAGGACATCCTCCCCTTCTGTCTGAGCCTAGCCTCTCAGGTCTCATCAGGACTGGCTTCTTTGTCTTCCTCTGTGGCCTGGCAAGGCTGCACCCCCAAGGGGGGAGGTGATCAGAGAGCTAGACACTGAGTTCATGCCAGAGACAGACCCAGCTCCCCTTTGGAGGGACCCCACTTGGAGACTGAGTCTATGGGCTACACCTGAGCTGGGGTTTTAGGTCCTCTCCATGCATGGTCCTTCGTTGTGGTATCATTCTCTTCAGGGCCCCCAGGGCTCTTTTTTTTTTTTTTTCCTTTGGCTCTGTTGGTCTCTTTTTGGAGCTCCTGTCCCTTCCAGGTCTTTCTATCTCACCCTTCTTTCATAAAATTCCATGCATTCTTCCATAAAATTCCATGCATTCTGCCCAAAGTTTGGCTGTAAGTCTCAGCCTCTGCTTCAATACCTGGATCAGTAGAGTCTTTCAGAGGCCACCTGTGGTAGACTCCTGTCCTGTTCATTGTTTTCTCTTGCTTCTGATGTCTATTGCATTTGTCTTTCTGAGTGAGGATTGAGCCTTATACAGAAACTTTTCAGTTTCAAGAGGTCCTGTTTATTAATTGTTAATTGTAGAGCCTGAGATAGTGGTACTCTGTTCATGAAATTATCTCTGTGTCAATGAGTTCAAGGCTGATCGCATTTAATCTTGTAACAGATTTAGTGTATCTGGCTTTGTGTTGAGGTCTTTGATCCACTTGGACTTGAATTTTGTGCAGGGTGATAAATATGGATCTATTTGCATTTTCTACATGTAGACATCCAGTTATTTCATCACTATTTGTTGAAGATATTTTCTATTTTCATTGTATGTTTTTTTTTTTTTTTTTTTTTTTTTTGTCTTAAATGAGTACATGCTGGAGAGGATATAGAGAAAGATGAACCCTCCTCCACTGCTGGTGGGGGTGCAAAGTTGTACAACCACTTTGAAAATCAGTCTGGTACTTTCTTAGAATAT